GGAGCTACTATATAGGGTGTCATTTTTAGATGGTTCGGCTGAATTTCTCTTAAACCAAGATGCTACCATAAAAACAAAAATACGTGTTTAATATTTTTTAGTCTAGTTAAAAATGTTTAACTTTTTTGGAGAAAAAAACACGCCAAGTTTAACTTCAAAATTTCAAATACGACTCTACACATCCTGACACATCATGTACTTTGGAGGATTTAACGCTGAAAACAATGGTGCAATCGGATTTTAAATTGGTCAAAAAATGTCAAATTTATGGCAAAAAATTTGAAAAAACGCATTTTGTTTGTCTCGTTGTTAAATCCATAATTTGTTTCTTCACTAAAGTAAATTAATTGCTTATTGTTTATATTCTGCCATTGTTTGTCAAACTCGCATTATGAGAGCAAATCTTAGTTCCTGGAAGTAAATAAATTTTACAATCCTATTCCTTACAGTCAGTATGTCATTTTAAAGGAGTTTTTACACTGAAAACAATGGTGCAATCGGATTTTAAATTGGTCAAAAAGTTGAGAGAAGAAGAGGAGCTGAATATTTTACTGTATATTCGCAAAAACCCGATTTCCTCTCTCCGAAATGTATGAAGGGTTTTAGGTTTTTCAAAAAATAAAATTAGATAGATACTCCGGACTTACAATTTAAGCCGTATCCCTCTCTTCTTGACCGGGAATTCGGGACTCTGTTTATGACAGGTGTCTAACGTGCACAAAAGTCGATTTGGAAGACTGAAGGAAACGTTCTGCCATACATCCTATGTACTGATGAATCCAAGTTCACCACTAATACCAAACTAAACCGTTGGAATTTTCGAACGTGGGCAGTGGAAAATCAAAACATTTTGTCTTTTGTCATCATCAGGTGGTTCACAGTATTCGTCTGGACCTCTCTGATATAAATTAATACGGCTTTATTTGTACGAAAATAATTTAAATGGAGCTCAGTTCCTCAATTTTTTGAGGGAGGTTTTACCAACATTATTAGATGATGTTCCTTTGCAACAGAGACAAAGATTGATTATCCAGCCCGATGGATGCCCCGCATACAATTCTTCCCAGGTGAGATTTGAAACGTCACTTCCATGATAGGTGGATAGGACCTCATGGCCCGATCTTTTGGTAATGAATTTAATTCCAATTGACTATTTTCTGTGAGGCCATTTAAAAAATATTTTCTACGCTAGTCATAACCCAGCAACCTCAGTTGAAGAATGGAAAATGCTCGACAATCCATGTCCTCTGACTATCATTCTGAGCACCGGTGAAGAGTGTTAAAAAGAGCAAATCTTTGCATCTTTATGCAAGGCAAGCAGTTCATAAGTTATAGTTAGGTAGTGGATCGGGTGCAGGTAAACTGAATAAAACACTAACCACTTTTGGAGATATATTTTCTCATTCCTCGGGCTTGGTTACCCTTATTAACTTTTAGGTTTTTGTCTTAACAATTGAGTCAAATATAAAATATTTTTTAGAAAAACTAAGCGTTGTAACAATAAAAAGTTTTAAAACTGATCGACCATTCAGATAAGCATTTATGTGGCGACCTTTCTTTTTACCAAGTGATATTCCACTCAATTGGTACATTATTTTTTGTTGTAGCACATTCAAATCTCTAACCGGCTTCTTGTTCAGCATCCCGTATTTTATTAAATTATTGTTCGTCTTTTAAAAATTATTTGGTATTACATATATATTTAATACTACATGACAATACAGCCAGGGAGTCATAATAAATATAGTGCTAACCTTAAATGTGATCGTTTTTATCGTTTTGTTCTACCTATACTCACGGTTTTGTTCTGCTAGGTGCGTTTCGGCTTCTCGCCATCTTCAATGTTGGGTTTGCGTGCATTTACACAATCAAAAATGGGATGGATGATATTACAAAAAAGGGAAAAAACAGTCCCTCTTGAGGGCTGCGGAGTTGTAAACGATTTGTAAAAAACTAAAGAATGTATCTATATGATTGTTAACAATTTTTTGGAGTCGATTGATACCGGAATGAAGAAAATAATCACGAGGAATGTGAGTAATAAAAAATATGGAAGAAAGTTTTTGATAATGGAGTGAAACTTTGAAATTTAAGTGATCAAGTAATAAAGAACAATCGATTCTATTAATTTGTAAATACACACAATCAAAATAAACACGACGAGAGTCTAATAAACATAAGTGAGTAGTACATTGGAGATAAGGAATATTATGTGAATATAAGGAATATCCATAATAGGGTAGATGAACTCCTTGATTGGTCGTTTTCGATTATTTTGGTCTTCGTATTTTCACGGTTTTGGTCTGTCAAGTGCGTTTCGCCTGCTCATCATCTTCAGTTGTGAATTTCTGTGTGTAATTACACAATTAAAAGGGTAAAAGTAATGGCTCGAGCTTCATTGGGCTGATTCTGATTTATCGTGACGTTTTAGTATCTTTTCTGTACGTTTATTTTTTTTAATTAATAAAGCCGTTTCAAATAAGGCGATGAAGTAGTACTAGGTTAGGTGCTTTATTAAGCTTTATGCTAATTTATTGGGTGAAAGTTTTGTTAATCTGTTATGCCTACTTGTTTTGAAAGTTTTTATGTATTTCAACTCTTGGGGAAATGTTTGTAATTTGTACATTCTTTTCTAGTTGGAGTATTTTATTTATTTTGTTCAAAGATTATTGCAGTGAAGTCTTCAGTTTGACCCCACAACCATCAAAAATTCATTTGAAATGTAGAAGTTAGGTCTATGTCAGATTTGATTTGTTCAAACAGACAAAGACTAAATAGGAAGTGATGACGGCAGGAAGTGATGATCTACGGAGGGACCATGTGGAGCGGCCATCATTCTGCAATTGTTAAACCTCCCCCACCGTCAGCACTTCCAGGCCAACTGCCTCGTCCTGCCGATGCTTATGCGCAAGGGTCAAAGGAAAATTAACAATGTTGGCCTGTTTTGTTAGCGATGACCGTGTAATCAAAAGTTAAGCGAGTTTTGATGGCTGTAGTTTTCCCAGTCCTCTTCCGTTTCTGAAGCACGTTTCTTGTTCCAATAAAAGAAACTAACCGAGGCATGAAAACCATGCTCGTTTAATCAGGAGTTTTATTACCGAGGATTCTTCGGAAGCCCTTATAACAAAACGAAGTTTTTATTTGCTTTTATTACAGCTGTAAATTGAACTGGGAAATAATTCTGTGAAAAAAATTTCTAATAGTTTTTCATTTTCCTTGGACATTGACAGGAAGACGATTTTATAAAAATGGTTGTAAATATTTTCTTCCTTTTCATGTTCTTATTCTTTTTCCATTCCTGTATATCTCTATCGTTAGTATTACGCTACATTTCGGCAAAATAAATTATGCTATTATTAAAAAAAATTACAAGAACATCACGTGGTCAACCAAGACTACATGCTGAACAATCCATAAGGTCGAAACATTCTTAAATTAAAATAAAAAATAGTTAAATAAAAATAGTATTATTTTACTATTTCATTAACAAATTAAGTTAACTGATTGAAAATTTAATTGCATTTTATAAACTCTTCTGATGTGTAATTTGGCTGAACTTTTGGTCTGCCTATCCCTTATCTGCCAGGCGTGTTTCGACTTCTTGCCATCTTCGGTGGTGGGCTTGTGTGTAGGTACACAATTAAAACGGGGCAGGATGATAAAGCAAAAAAAAAACTATTGTCGTCTGGGGAGTGCTAAAACTCTAGTTTCGTCGGTTTCGATTTTTCGCTTTTTCCCTTTCCTTGCAGTCATACTTTTGGTCTGTTAGGTGCGTTTCGGCTTCTCGCCATCTTCAGTGAGATGTTGAGGTAGTTACACAATAAAAATGGGAAAATATGATATTACAAAAGAAAAGAGTTATGAGCCTGTCGTTCGGTCGCACCTGAACATATTGGCATGTATATCCTCCCTGTTTCGGTGTCAAGTACATTTCAGATTTCTCGCCATCTTCAGTGTTTCATTTGAGTGTATTTGCACAATTAAAAAAGGAAGGACGATATTACCAAAAATTCTCTTTTGTCTGCGAAGCAATGAACCTCGTGTTTGATCGTTTCATACCATTTTGGTATGCCTATACTCTTTGTTTTTGTCTGTCTTGTGCGTTTCGGTACCTTGCCGTCGTCAGTGGTGTGTTTAAGTGTATTTATGCATTTAAAATTGGGAAAGATTATATTACGATTAAAATTCTGTTGAGGACTTCAGAGTGATGAATCTATAGTTACCCTTCTGGCCTCGTTATCCTGACTGTTTTCCTGTCAGTTACATTTTGGCATATCGCTATCTTCAGTGATGGGTGAAGGGTTAAGTTCGATATTTAAAAAAATCTTCTTGGAATCTGCGGAGTGATGCACCTGTAGTATGTTTGGTGTGGCTATCCTAACTGTTTTCGTCTCTCAGGTACATCATAACTTCTTGCCATCTTAATTGATGGGTTTGTGGATATTTAGACAATTATTAAAAAAAAGGAACGGACGATGATATAACAAAAGAAATCTTCTGTGGGGGTTGAATTTGTAGATTTATCGTTTCCGATAATTTTGTACTGCTTATACTCACCGTTTTTATCTGCCTGGTGCGTTCGGATTCTCGCCATCTTCAGTAATGGGTTTGTGTGAATTTGCACATGTAAAAATAATGGATGAATTACAAAAAGAAATTCTCTTTGTGTCTTCGGAGTGATCATTCAGAGGTCTGGACGTTTCTGGCCATTTTGGTCAGCCGATCCTCGTTGTTTTATCTATTAGTATATTTCGTCTTCTCGCCATCTTCACTTTATTTCTGTCTATTGATAAAAATACTAATAGTCAATGTAACAGCAGATGGGATCTCAGATCTTCCTGGTCTGCTTAAAATCATAACTGGTTAAAAAAGACAAAATTGGTAGGAAACAGAACAAGTACTGGTGTTACAGTAAAAAAATATATGAATACACCTCCAAACGTAAAGTTTTTTTTTTTTTCATAGACTGGTTTTTCATGTATACTTTGTTTTTGTTTCAGGGAAGAGAAAACTTGGGGAAGCAGGAAAGCAGCACCTGCCTCACATCTGCTCGTAATTCATTGATATGTACCGCCGATTGCTCAGGAGCTGAGGGTCATTTCAACCCAGGAAGTGGGACCGTAACAAAATAGAAAAAAAATCGAAATCAAGTAAGTCAAAATGTGGGATGACTTAATTTACAAGATGTGTTAATAAAGGCCGTAAATTTTACATGAAGTTATATTTTCATGCCGCTGACTAACAGTCCGGGGTTATGCAACACCAGCAACGCAGCGACGGGCTGAGCTCTCTTCTCTTGTCAGTTTATCCAAACTTGCCATCCATATTTTCATCTAGGTCTTCCTAGTCAGATTTGTAACAATTTGTACTGAGAAGATAATTGAGTTGCTCCGGGGGTCGGCGAGGCGGCAACTTGACGTCATGGGTCGATCGAGCCGCCCCCAGGGTCCCAAATCTCTTTCTGGGTCCTCCCACCGCCTCCCTTTCGCGCCCGAATCCGCCCTAATTCCTCCTTAACGCCGGGGGATCATGGCAGTATTAACTCTCGGCCCGTACAGAAATAATTACACCCATTTCTTCATCCTTTCCCGTCGCCAGCACTGGATTTACGGCTTTCGGGGGACTTGGTTTAAATTGGAAATAGGGTTTGTTGGCCCCAGGGTTGAAAATTATATTGAAACAATACATTTTTTTAAAATACAAAATTAGAATATAGGAAAGGAAAATGTACTTTCATAGAAAACAAGAAGGGTTATTCTTTTGGGGGAGGAGGTGTCTCCTCTCCCAATAGCTCCTCCTCGGTGAGCACTCTTGGCTTCGTCTGTAGAGGAGGAGGGGTCTGGGTCTCCAGGATGACCTGGTCAACCTCCATCTCAGCAGTATTTTCGGAGGTAGTCTCCGTGCGTGGAGGCGTCGCTGAAGAGGCCGGCTCCGTTTGAATGGATGGGGAGGGGTGATTGGGGTGGAGGTGTGAGATTTCTCTCGTTTTGTAGCCTCCTCCCCCTCCTTTTTTCAGGCCCCTCACAGGGATCCTCCCAAAACGAAAATTAAGGGTATGTCCTCTTGAAATTATCGTTTCTGCCGAAATGTCGTCGATGCCCAGGATAATGACAATCCCAGGCCCCTCCGCTCTCACTAAGTGAACTTTCCACTCCTCAGCGCAGATCCCATCATTCTGCGCTTTGACCAGTGCTAGGGTTCTTTGTTCTTCTCCTAGTTTTGTCCTAGGGAAGAACACCACTATCGAGTGAGTTTTGGGAACATCCCCCCTTACCCTCACTGTCAGTTTCTTTTGTTTACTTAGCTCCAGTTGAGGGTCTATTTCCTGCAGCCATTGTACAGTTTTGCCATCTTGACAGTCTAAGACCATCATACCCGGCCTGAAGTGTATGCCTTCAAACTGTATTTTGGCTTCCCATCCTTTTAAGATTTCTTCAATGAGGGTTTCCTCCAGATGGGTCAGCTCTTTTGTTGTTAGGGTTACCAGAGGGTAGTCATCCGGTAGCAAAGCCACTCTTATGATCTTTGCTGCTCCGGCGTAGCTTACGCTTGGAGCAGCCTCCCTGGCTCTAAACTGCGCCTGAGGAGTGGATGGCTTTGCTTTCTTGTCTTTTCTTAGTTACTTGGGGGTAATAGATTGCTCTCTTGCCCTCTTGCTGGATGATTGAACCTCCAGTTTCTCTTTTTGGATTTTAGCCTTCTTGGATTTTATTGCTCTCAGGTATCATTTGGTCATAGCACCGCTAAGACCTTTCCTGAGAGGGTTGTCTTTCCCGCCTGGTTCTCCTAGCTTTGGCATTTCGGCGGAAACTTTTTTCTTTCCTTTTGGTTTCCCAAGAGGGGGTATACATTTTCTAGTGTCGCTACTTGAAGGTGTTGAACCCTTCGTTTGTGTGGTATTGAATTTCCCACGTAGCGACTGGTGTTTGTCTTTAGGAGGGAGAGGTGGTCTCTCCTTTGTTTCCAAGGACTGAGTGTCCATCTGGGGGTTAGTCCCCAGATTGCTTGAAGTATTTGTAGCAGTGAGATCCTGCTCTAGGTTTAGTTTTTTGTTTACTGTACTCATTTGATTCCCACAAGTAGCTGGGGAACTATAAGGTCCGCTCAATTAGAGCCCCGCATGATGGAGTAAGGCTAATTACCCTCTGATGTCGCCCGGTGTCATAACGGAGGATCAAGACAGCCACATTTACCCCGGCTGCCAGTGAATCACTCGGCACGGAACGCATGTCACCTTTGATTGGGGCGGATGCTGTTATTTGTCAAGCCCAAGACTCTTGTTAGGGGGTTATAGGATGGAGGGAGAGGGGTTAGTGGTAGGAGTTTGTTTAGTGAGGACCCACCCAAGGAGTGGTTGGGAAAACGAGTAGTACGAGTACCTCACTTAAGGATAGGACACCAGAGCCCCTTTAGCCTTTTCGCACCGTACCATGCCGTGGGGATCAATATGAATCCCCTCGTCAGAACGGTGTCGAACGTTTCCCGGGGTTCACTACTTGGAAGCGGGGTTGGTCTTTGAACCCCTAAAAAGAAACACAACACAAACAAACCAAACAAGAAAGATTATAATTTCTTACAAATTTTAATGATATTTATAGTTTTAAATTAAGCTCTGAATGTAAATTTTCTTTAAAAAAATGTAATTTTTTTGTCGAGGCAAAAATCTTTCCACATCAAATTTTACACCCTTTTTAATTAGTTTTTAATTAGATGACCTTGGCTGTCCGAACAAACATTGAGGAGGTTAACAGTACATACAAGTCGAGACAAAACGTCAGGGACTTCCAGTTTTATTAATTTATAGAAAATGTCCACGTCTATAAAAAAAAAAAAAAAAGTAGGCGTTTTTGTAGTTTTTAAATATTGAATAATGAATCGTAGATGAAAAATGTCTATAGATTACTGCAGGATAGTAAGGTTTATAAGCAGGGCGAGGACGAATATTTTTCACTTCGATTTCCAGGCTTAAATTCAATATTATATTGGTTGCGTATCATTGAACCTTTTCGCGCTTTCTAAATATGCAACACTGATCTGAAATGTTTATACTTTGATATGGTGACGCCAAGGTTATATACACGTCCAGGTATAAGATTCCAACGTCCAGTTAGGCTTCGTTGCGTAAACCTATTATTTTATTATTTGCATATTCTGATAATTTTTATCTATTTTTAAACGTGCGGCAGTGAGCTGAAAAGCACGGCGAGGCAAAATTTTAACTCCTTCCAGTATTGTTCTTGAGGAACGATATTGCAAAAATTATTACTTTCATATTATTGTGTATTTCCATTCATAATCTGTTAATAACACAGGATTATTAAGGACCTAGAATGTTTATATTCTGATATAGCGACCAAAATTTAAGCAAGCGACCAGAAATTTGAACAGGGCGAGAATAAAGGTTAACTCCTTTCAATATTGCTGTTCTTTAGTGACATAATTACTAAAAAATTGCTGTTAAATTCTCGTGAATTTTAGTTTTTAATAAAAATAAATGAGATAATGACCTGGAATGTTTATGCTCTGATAAAGCTTCGTTAGGGCGAAGCAAGATATTTTCACTTTGGTTTCGAATCATAAATCTATGAATATATCAAATTTTTCATCGTAAGTTTCGCTCTTTCTAAATGACAAGACATTGACATGAAATATTTAAAGTCTGATATTTCTAAATTTTACGAAAGCGAGGCAAAAACATAAATATCTTTAATAATCTTGTGATTTTTGTTCTTTCTAAAATTGTAGTAATGACCTGGAATATTTACATACTTATAAAGCAACGCCAGGATATAAGTAGGCGAAGTAAAACGTTAATTCCTTCCAATAATGTCACTACATAATTGCAAAAAATATCACTTTCATATTCTTGTGTTTTCACATATTTTTGTTCATATTTTTGTGTATTCATATTCTTGTGTGTTCATATTCTTGTGTTTCTGAAATGCTGATACTCTTATATAATGTCGCCAGGGTAATAAGCAGGGCGAGGCAAAACGAAGTTCTTTCAATATTGTTGTTCCTCTTCAGTATAAGGTTGTTAAGTCCTTGTCCGTAAAAGCAAATGTTCCGTTGGTTTGGCAGATGAAACAACATTAGTTATATAAGAAGGGTGAGGCAAAAACCTTTTTCTGCAGAGGTCAGTTTGTTACAAACTATTATAGTTTACTAAATTTACACAATTTTTACCCAGGATATGAATCTTTAACAAATGAGATAAAGGAGAATGTAATAAATCCGTATACTTTACGACCTTTTATTTCATTAGATCAGTTCCCCTACACCTTTTTTTGTGATTTAAATGGCATAAAAAAGCAAACTGCATTGCAATTTCCATCTCAAAATAGCGATATTGCTACATATTAAAGGACGGATCAGGTCGTTTTCAGGACCAGACCGAAAGAATCGGTAGAATTTACCGTTCTTCCTATATCATTTCTATGAAATAGCTTCATTACTGTTCTGCAGGTCGTTAAAAATGATTAACAGATAAAACGAACAAAACGACAAAAAATTATGATGTTTAAAACAGTTGTAATCGTTAAACGTGTACGGTACTTAGAAGAAACAAAACGGTAAAATAATCGAAAAGTATGACAATGAGAAAAATAAAGAATGTGTACCAATAAAAAATATATTAAACACCGTTTTAAAACATTCCCGTTTGTTTGAATTAATACAGTCATTTTTGAGAATTCGAACGGATTCCACGTTTTATTTGTGTCCTCATAGTTCCGTCTTTTCTCACGGGCGAGTAGAAACTACACCTCAGATCTGATATCCTTGACATAAAAGGCCTGAAGATATATTGATTTAGATATGACTGTTAATTATACCATAATGCGGGTTGACGTGCATGTTTTTTATGCAGTTGCGTGTTGAATCTTAGCGATTCTCCTGAAACGTCTCGGATCGATTTAGATGTTAAAACGAGTCGAGCTAAATATCCTGCACCTCAATGTGTTTTGTCGCGAGATATATATATTTTTTAAATTACATAATT